GAAACAATGTGAAGTTCAATGAACAGAAATTTCAATTACTCCGGTATGGAAAACCCGAGGAAATTAAAACTGTATCGGAGTATAAAACAAATTCGAATTGCACAACAGAGCGAAAAACTAATGTTAAGGACCTGGGAGTGATAATGTCAGAGGATCTCACTTTCAAAGATCACAACAATGTATCTATCACATCTAAAAAAATGATAGGATGGATAATGAGAACCTTCAAAACTAACTAGAGATGCCAAGCTCATGACGATTCTCTTCAAATCGCTTGTTATCTTTAGGGTGGAATATTGCTGTACACTAACGGCCCCATTCAAGACAGGCGAAATTGTAGACCTTGAGAATATACAGAGAACAACTTTCACGCCACATATAAGTACAATGAAGCACCTAAATTACTGGGAACGGTTAAAGTCCCTTGATTTGTACTCCCTGGAACGCAGGCGAGAAAGATACATGATAATATACACTTTGAAAATCCTAGAGGAACTAGTCCCAAATCTTCACACGAAAATCATTCCCTACAAAAGCAAATGACTCAGCAGGAGATGCAACATTCCCCCCATTGAAAAGCAAAGGCACCACGAGTACTCCCAGAGACAACACAATAAGTGTCCGGGGCCCAAGACCGCTCAACTGCCTCCCAGCATACATAAGGGGGATTACCAACAGACCCCTGGCTGTCTTCAAGAAGGCGCTGGATAGGCACCTAAAGTCAGTACCTGATCAGCCGGTCTGTGGTTCGTACATCGGTTTACGTGCGGCCAACAGTAACAGCCTGGTTGATTAGATCCTGATCCACCGCGAGGCCTGGTCATGGACCAGGCCTCGGGGGCGTGGCCCCCAAAGCCCCCTCCAGGCATACTCCAGGTGTACTGTGACTGGAGGCAGTTTGATCATGAGGTTCCAAATAATATATTTGAACCTCGGACAATGTGAAAAAATAAACTCGACAACATTCTGGTCCACTGGGAATCAAAGAAGCGCGTATGGGTTAATGGGCCCCTCACTCTTGCAATTTCTTTCAAGCTACAAGATTTTCTCTAATGGCTACTTTCGCATATTTTTTCCATTACTCCTTGGGTGGAGAACCTTGGGTGGAGAACCTTGGGTGGAGAACCTTGGGTGGAGAACCTTGGGTGGAGAACCTTGGGTGGAGAAGCTTGGGTGGAGAACCTTGGGTGGAGAACCTTGGGTGGAGAACCTTGGGTGGAGAAGCTTGGGTGGAGAAGCTTGGGTGGAGAACCTTGGGTGGAGAACCTTGGGTGGAGAACCTTGGGTGGAGAACCTTGGGTGGAGAACCTTGGGTGGAGAACCTTGGGTGGAGAACCTTGGGTGGAGAACCTTGGGTGGAGAACCTTGGGTGGAGAAGCTTGGGTGGAGAACCTTGGGTGGAGAACCTTGGGTGGAGAACCTTGGGTGGAGAACCTTGGGTGGAGAACCTTGGGTGGAGAACCTTGGGTGGAGAACCTTGGGTGGAGAACCTTGGGTGGAGAACCTTGGGTGGAGAACCTTGGGTGGAGAACCTTGGGTGGAGAACCTTGGGTGGAGAACCTTGGGTGGAGAACCTTGGGTGGAGAACCTTGGGTGGAGAACCTTGGGTGGAGAACCTTGGGTGGAGAACCTTGGGTGGAGAACCTTGGGTGGAGAACCTTGGGTGGAGAATCTTGGGTGGAGAACCTTGGGTGGAGAACCTTGCTCTCTTAGTCAAATTGAATGGAAAGGGAAGTTATATGATGAAATTTGATACGTAATTATCAGAGCATTTGTACTCTCCAACGACCATCCAACAGGCGACTCGGAATGATACTAAAGGCAGGAGTGAGATTTACCTTTTGGGCTTATCTTGGGACAATCAAGCGGCTATAGGAAATTGTTCTGTACGTTCACTAGAGCGGTACTCATCTTTGACAATGAACTTGGAATCTGTCACAACTCAACTCAAAATAATGTTGCTCTGTCATGAGTGGCTCTTGTCTCTTACCATTGATATGGCAACTGTCATCATTGAATACTCAGCATTATGCTACTGCACAACAAGTGGCAATCGTCTCGGATCGTAAATATAGCATCCGTGGCAACTCAACAATTATTGCGAAATTACTGTACCATGAGTGACTTTTGTCTCTGATCATGATGTTAGGTTAGGTAAAGTTTGTCAGGAAACAGGACAAGTGTTTCCTGACTCGGGTCATATGACCCGCAGCTAGAGCCTCTGGTTATCTGACCGAGGCCTTCCATCTTTCACACCTCACTGTTCATTACAGTGTTACTGCACCATGAGCAGTCTGACGTCTAGAAATATATGTACATTCTCTCAGGCTGCCCATCACAGAATACCTCCCTCGGGCCCCCGCTAGCAAACGCCCAAAACTCTTTAAATTCTAGTCAAGTATTACTTAGAATGAGTTAAATTGACTACAAACTTCAAGGATCAAAACTCTGCCCAATCCTTATAAAGGTGATTAAAAGCCAAACATATTCTCTTCATAAACTGTGTTTCTACATGTCCAGAAAAGTTTTAGGACTGGGTTAATACCTGTATGGAACGACCTGTATACGTGATATGTTGAGGTCATTTAGACTTTTAAGTAATAGGAATCGCAGAGTTCATGTATGAAATGAAATCAGGAAAACATATGAAATCTGAGGCCGAATGTTGAGAAATTCAGAAGGACCTTGATATTACTGACGTGTGACCTTGATATTACTGACTTGAGACCTTGGTATTACTGACGTGGGACCTTTATATTACTGACGTGAAACCTTGATTACTGAAGTAGACCTTGATATTATGATGTGCCCTTGATATTACTAAAGTGAGACCTTGATATTATTACGTGGGACCTTAATTACGACTTGGACCTTAATTACTGACGTGTGACCTTGATATTACTGACGTGAGACCTTGATATTACTGACGTGAGACCTTTATATTACTGACGTGAGACCTTGATATTACTGACGTGAGACCTTGGTATTACTGACGTGAGACCTTGGTATTACTGACGTGGGACCTTCATATTACTGACGTGACACCTTGATATTACTGACGTGAGACCTTGGTATTACTGACGTGGGACCTTTATATTACTGACGTGAGACCTTGATATTACTGACGTGAGAACTTGATATTACTGACGTGAGACCTTGATATTATGACGTGTGACTGAATTACTGAATGAGACCTTGATATTACTGACGTGGGACCTTGATATTACTGACGTGGGACCTTGATATTACTGGCGTGTGATCTTAATATTACTGACGTGAGACCTTGATATTACTGACGTGAGACATTGATATTACTGACGTGTGACCTTGATATTACTGACGTGAGGCCTTGATATTACTGACGTGTGACCTTGATATTACTGACGTGAGACCTTGATATTACTGACGTGGGACCTTGATATTACTGACGTGGGACCTTGATATTACTGGCGTGTGACCTTGATATTACTGACGTGAGACCTTGATATTACTGACGTGGGACCTTGATATTACTGACGTGGGACCTTGATATTACTGATGTGGGACCTTGATATTACTGACTCTGAGTCTAGTAACTGCTGACACTGTGGCTAAAAACAGAGGCGTCAAGCTTAGTTGTAGACAAATGTAAAGTAAATAATTTTGTGCTTATTATTATGGTAGTGATAGTCAAATATTGTTATGGTAGTGATAGTCAAATATTGTTATGGCAGTGATAGTCAAATATTGTTATGGTAGTGATAGTCAAATATTGTTATGGTAGTGATAGTCAAATATTGTTATGGTAGTGATAGTCAAAATTGTTATGGATTTGATAGTCAAATTTGTTATGGTAGTGATAGTCAAATATTGATATGGCAGCGATAGTCAAATATTGTTATGGCAGCGATAGTCAAATATTGTTATGGCAGTGATAGTCAAATATTTTAGGTAGTGATAGTCAAATATTGTTATGGTTAGTTGATAGTCAAATATTGTTATGGTAGTGATAGCCCAAATATTGTTATGGCAGTGATAGTCAAATATTGTTATGGTAGTGATAGTCAAATATTGTTATGGTAGTGATAGTCAAATATTGTTATGGTAGTGATAGTCAAATATTGTTATGGCAGTGATAGTCAAATATTGTTATGGCAGTGATAGTCAAATATTGT